ATTAAGAATATCCCATTCCATGCTTCTAGATTGAAGATTCCAAGGAATTCTCTTTGGAAAATCGATCAAAAAGGACTTGGAAATCTTCTTCATCAAATGAAACTTTTCTTTCTGAGTATCCTCCTTTTCAAGAAATTGTTTTCCTCATGGAGTGACAGAAGTTGCGGCATCTCCTTTCAAACAAATTTCCGAAGAAAGAGTTGAAATTGTTGCTGCAAAAACAAATGATATCAAAAATCTTCAAGCTCAAAACAATTATACTAATATTGTTCTTCATTTTGTGTTCTCAATTATCTAGAATTGAATCAAATTCTGAAACTGAGAATAATTCAAAAGACAGTTCTTGTATCCCTAGTGATTCAAAGACTGCATATCGCGATGTCAAAAAATCAAAGATTGATGAAAATAAACCTCTTCTTTTTAAACCCATCGAATCAAATCTTTCTCCTAAATTAAGAAAAAATTTGTTTTCTTCTGATTCTCAAGTTCTGGAAGAACTTACAAAACAAATTTCAAAACTCAATGCTTCAAAAATTGTTAATACAATTGATGACTTTGAAAATCTTGAAAATCAATTTATTGATGAAGAACCGCTTCAAATCAACAAATTAGAAATTTTTTCAAAACTTCCGACATATTACCCTCGACCTTCTCATCCTGATTTACTCTTTGAAGAAAGTTCTTTTAGGAGAAAAGCCACTAAAACTTATTCAGGCGATGAAATAGTTGAGTGGAATGACTGAATTTCAAATAGTTCAAACTATGGAAAAAATGTCTGTTTGTATGTCTACCTATTCAAGCAGAAATCTTGATGGATATGCTGCTTATACTAATCTCGTTGTTGGCTTTACGGGTCAATTAAGAGGTTGGTGGACTAATTACCTTTCAGAAGATAACGGACAAGAAATACTTCAAGCAACAAAAATAGATAATAACAATGTTGTTAGTGATAGTTTCGCTACTATTGTTTTTTCAATTATCAAACATTTTGTTGGAACTCTTACTCTTTTTCAATATAGGTCATCGGAAATTCTGATGAATATTTCTTGTCCTCAACTACATGACTTTAGATGGTATAAAGACATATTCCTTTCTAGAGTTATGCTTCGTGATGACTGCAACAATTGTTGTCCCAAAGCTGTAAGTTCTTGGATACAGCTTAAGACTAATGAAGGACTTCCCAAAAATTCAAAGAAACATCAAGAAGCTCAAGCTGATTTCCTTACTGAGAAAAATAGCTTATTAGCTCTTCTTGCCAAATGTTCAAATCCAGAAGAGATGGCAATTATTGCAGAAAAACTCGCTTCACTTGCAGAAATCGCTTCAAAATCTTCAATTCAAGGTTCTTCTGAAAACAGTTTAGAAGCAGATTTTGATTTCTATCAAAATGAAGATGACTGTTTTGGTATTAACTTTGAAGAGTCTCTTCATGAAGAAATTCAAAAAAACCAAATGACTACATGAACGAAGTTATCTTGATGAATTAAAAGATTACCGAGTTCACAATTCAAGATTGTTACTTTTCAAGATTTGTCAGCTTAAAAGTGGATCTTTGCCGACAAAAGATTTCAATAGCTAATAAAGAAAGTATCTTCTTTATTAAAGTTACTTTTTGGAAAGTAGTTGACTTTTTCTTTATCAGAGCCCTCAATGTACTATTTAAGATTCCTTCAATTATACTTTCTCATTGTATAAATTCAATGGGTTTTTTTCAATGTAATCAGAGTTTAGACGGGAGATAAACTTCTCTTTGCAAGGTCAAAATATCCTTGTAATTTTTCACTTTTCAATCAATAAAAGTTCTTTTGATTTCAAAGATTTTCTTCAACATTTGTATCTTTGTTTGAATCTTGTTTATTTTCTATCTCTATCAATCTACTTTGAATTTCTGGGTCAATTTGGTATCATATATATATATATATATACACACACACACGTTGGGCGGTGACTCGGAGAAAGAAAACGGAGGCAATTTTGGGAGAAAAGTCAGTAGCTTCTGGGCATAAAAAAGGTTGCAACTGATATATATAAACACTCAAACGGCGGCAGTTTGGAAGAAAAAAAAAGGCAGCAATTAATAGTATATCTTTACACATTGGCCGGCAAAAGCGAAAGGAGGCAACTTCAATCGGAATTAATCACATTTCGTCAATTTTTAGTGATGTCTTTCAACTTTTACGTGTTTTATTTCAACGTTATAAGTGACTAAATATTATTATTGTTAGGATTGATGATGTAACTTAAGGATTTTATTATATGTTTAATTTCAAGATTTTCATATCATTTTAATACTTATTAATTAATTATTGTGTGTTTAATTATATTATTTGTTTGCACAACAATTAATTGATTTATGAATAATATTGAGATCGAGGGGTGATGTATAATTGTAGCTCGTGC